CTATGGATCCCATACATTCCCTATGGATCCCACACGTTCCCTATGGATCCCACGCATTCCCTATGGATCCCATACGTTCCCTATGGATCCCATACATTCCCCCAGGGATCCCATACATTCCCCCATGGATCCCACACATTCCCTATGGATCCCGTACATTCCGCCATGGATCCCACGCATTCCCTATGGATCCCATACAGTCCCTATGGATCCTGTATGGCCCTGGGCAGTCCCCTATGGATCCCACGCGTTCCCTATGGATCCCACACATTCCCTATGGATCCCATACAGTGCCTATGGATCCCATACATTCCCTATGGATCCCATGCATTCCCTATGGATCCCATACATTCCCCCATGGATCCCACACATTCCCCATGGATCCCATACGTTCCCTATGGATCCCACGCATTCCCTATGGATCCCACGCATTCCCTATGGATCCCACACATTCCCTATGGATCCCACACCTTCCCTATGGATCCCACACATTCCCTATGGATCCCATACATTCCACCATGGATCCCATACATTCCCCTATGGATCCCATACGTTCCCTATGGATCCCATACATTCCACCATGGATCCCACACCTTCCCTATGGATCCCATACATTCCCTATGGATCCCATACATTCCCCCATGGATCCCATACATTCCCTATGGATCCCACGCATTCCCTATGGATCCCATGCATTCCACCATGGATCCCACACGTTCCCTATGGATCCCATGCATTCCCTATGGATCCCATACATTCCCCCATGGATCCCATACGTTCCCCCAGGGATCCCATGCATTCCCTATGGATCCCACACATTCCCTATGGATCCCATACAATCCCCCATGGATCCCATACATTCCCTATGGATCCCATACAATCCACCATGGATCCCACACATTCCCTATGGATCACATACATTCCCCCATGGATCCCATACATTCCCTATGGATCCCATACGTTCCCCCATGGATCCCATACATTCCCTATGGATCCCACACAATCCCCTATGGATCCCACACGTTCCCTATGGATCCCACGCGTTCCCTATGGATCCCATGCATTCCCTATGGATCCCATACATTCCCCCATGGATCCCATACATTCCCTATGGATCCCATGCATTCCCTATGGATCCCATACATTCCCCCATGGATCCCATACATTCCCTATGGATCCCA